GAGAATTTGTTACTTTTTTACCTGTGCAGAAATATCAATTTTTTTACTTATTTTTTCTTTTTTCTCATAAATGGTTTTCACTTGGTTATGTTAAAATTTTGTATCAGAATTACACTGGCCCAAAACTGGGGGGGTGTTAATTTGGCGTGAAATCTCACTCATTTTCATTTGATAAGGAATTAAGAATAGTTTATCAATATATGAAAAATGAAAAATAAACTATACCTTAATTTTGTAATTTTCACGGTATTCGATTAGATTAGTAAAGGGTTCATTTGGTAATTATTTTGTTCTTTCATTTTTTATTTTTCATAATTAAGTTTATGAACACCATTGCTATTTGTGTTTTTTTTAATTGTTAAATTGGTTTAAAAATTTAAGTCAAGTTTTGAAAATTAAAATAAATTATTTTTTTAATTTAAATTTATTTATTCATTGTGTTTTAAACTCAATATATACAAACGGTAGGTGTCCAAAAAGTTTGGGAAGTATTAGGTATGATCAAAGTTGAAGAATTAGGGTAAGTCCAAGGTTTACACAAAATATTTTCACTGTTCCTAAACTAACTTTTAAAAATAAGCCGGGGCAAACACTTGATCGGAATAGAAATTCGAATAATCAAAATAAATAAAATTAGGTTGTCTTCTTGAATGAAGGGAATAGAATTTTTAATAATTAAATTTATTAAAATTAGGCTAAAATTAGGCACTCCCAAAATGGTTTTCTTTTAACATTTTCAGCTAAACATTATTAATATTATCATGCATATTAGCCTTTGCAAGAGCGCAAAATAATCATCATCATAACATATTTGATAATTCGATGGTTGCATCATAGGCATGATATTAATGTCACACTCAAATATTTTCAATGAAATCTCAACCAGGGAGAAAATTAAAAATCAATTCCGTTGCCGGGAATCGAACCCGGGTCTTTCGGGTGAGAGCCGAATATCCTAACCAACTAGACTACAACGGAATGGTGAAATGTTTGTGAGAAACCAGTCTCAATTATTAAAATGACAGATATTTATTTCCAATTACTCTTGGAACTTCACGACCTCTCGCCGCTGAGAATCAACCAATTGAACTAGAACTGAAGCCACTGCACTACGCGGACTCCCAAATTCGCCGGAGCTCACCGAAGAAGAAGAAGAAGGAGGAGAATTCTTAGCGTTGCTCCGCCGGAATTCGCACTCCGATGGATACAATGTTGAGCCATTTAACCACCGGTCTCCACAGCCGCTCACTCTTCACATTTCCACGTCTGAAACCACGGAGGCTCAACCACTCTGGCGGTGGTAGCGCCTCCGTGACCTGCGCCGCTAGCAAATGGGCCGAGCGCCTTCTCGGAGACTTTCAATTCCTCGCCGATTCCTCCTCCGACCACCCCCATTCTCTCTCATCTTCCACTGTCACCATCTCTCCTACTTTCCCTCCGCCAATTGCCTCCCCCGAGCGCCAGGTTTCCATCCCCATTGATTTCTATCGAGTACTTGGAGCTGAGACTCATTTTCTTGGGGATGGGATTAGGAGGGCTTACGAAGCTAGAGTTTCGAAGCCGCCGCAGTATGGGTTTAGCCAGGACACGCTGATAAGCCGCCGGCAGATTCTTCAGGCAGCTTGTGAAACCCTAGCGGACCACACTTCGCGAAGAGAGTACAATCAGAGCCTTTCGGAAGATGAAGATGGTACCATCCTCACTCAAGTCCCTTTCGATAAGGTAACGCTTATTTCGATTGTAATTTATATGATACTACGATCAATGTTAAACGCAGTAATGGTTAGTTGAGTTAAATTGACCTCTAAATGTAGCGAATATGAATTGAAGTTTGATATATGAGGCTGCAAGTTTTTTGTCTGCCTATGAATTTTCAGCATCCGAACCAGTGCCGTTTTCTGTTATGAGTGTAACTGAACAGGTTTTTGAGATTGCAATTGTTAATTTGTAGGTTCCTGGTGCTTTGTGCGTGTTGCAAGAAGCTGGAGAGACAGCGCTGGTTCTTGAAATAGGAGAGAGCTTGCTCAGAGAAAGGTTGCAAAAGTCATTCAAGCAAGATATTGTCCTGGCGATGGCTCTTGCTTATGTTGACGTATCAAGGGATGCTATGGCATTATCTCCGCCTGATTTTATTCAGGGTTGCGAAGTGCTCGAGAGGGCCTTGAAGTTGCTGCAGGTAAACGTTTGATTGCAACTCTTCAATCTCGAGATTCAATTATTCCGAAATGGTTCAAGTGAATAATGGTGATTATTGATCTCAAATGTAAAGTACTGACCAATGATGATACAAAGCATAAAATCAAGACTACATCTGACCTTCTAGTTATGTTGTGCTGATTGATGACACTTACCTTTGCGAATGTAGGAAGAGGGTGCCAGTAGCCTTGCACCAGATTTGCTTGCACAAATTGATGAGACATTGGAAGAGATAACACCTCGGTGTGTTCTGGAACTTTTAGCTTTACCGCTTGATGATGAGTGGCGCACAAGAAGGGGAGAGGGTCTTCATGGAGTGCGGAATATTCTGTGGGCTGTTGGAGGAGGGGGAGCAACAGCTATTGCTGGTGGGTTCACCCGTGAAGATTTTATGAATGAGGCATTTGAACGAATGACTGCATCTGAACAGGTTCTTGCAGAATTGGAATCTCCAAAATTACTATCCTGGATTTTGCTTTTGCTGCTTGTTACATTAAGCCTCTATTTTTCTTGTTGAAAGGTTGATCTCTTTGTTGCTACACCAACAAATATTCCTGCAGAAAGTTTTGAAGTTTATGGAGTGGCGCTTGCACTTGTGGCACAGGCCTTTATTGGCAAAAAACCACACCTTATCCAAGATGCTGACAATCTCTTCCAACAACTTCAGCAAACTAAGGGAGGGACTGCTGGCACAGCATATGCAGCTCGTGAGGTTGATTTTGCTCTTGAGAGGGGGCTATGTTCATTACTTGGTGGAGAACTTGATGAGTGTCGATCATGGCTGGGCTTAAACAGTGAGAGTTCACCTTATAGAAATCCTGCTATTGTAGATTTTATCCTCGATAATTCGAAGGATGATTCTGAAAATGATCTCCCGGGGCTATGTAAACTGTTAGAGACATGGCTGGCAGAAGTGGTGTTCTCCAGATTTAGAGACACTAAAAATATTTATTTTAAGCTTGGAGATTACTATGATGATCCTACGGTTCTGAGGTACTTAGAGAAACTGGAAGGAGTTAATGGTTCACCCCTGGCTGCTGCTGCAGCTATTGTGAAGATTGGCGCTGAGGCGACTGCAGTTCTAGATCACGTAAAGTCGAGTGCAATTCAGGCACTGCAGAAGGTGTTTCCCCTTGGTCAAAACAGTTCTAGGCGCGAGGCAGACGCTGAAATGGATTATGTTTTTCCTGCTATAAATAATCAAGGACCTATAGTGAACTTCGATGAGAATGAACCCACCAACTTATCAAAGGTTTCTGAGAGCTCTAAATCTGATGAAATAAATGATGAAAAACCGATAACTGATCAAATTAAAGATGCAAGTGTGAAGATCATGTGTGCTGGTGTGGTAGTTGGGCTAATAACTTTAGCTGGCTTGAGATTCTTACCTGCTAGAAATGGCACATCTGCTCTAATTAAGGAAGCTGATTCCTCAATGGCATCCGATACCAGTGTGGGTATGATCTAAATACTCAAAAATAACAAATAGAAAATAGTAATTTTAGCTTCCTAATTTAGACTTTCTAAATTTCTAGGCAGTTGTCTTATAATATAAGGTATTTTCTTGTGTAAATGTTAAAAACATTGTTGAAAATCATTTTATGCTTTGGAGAATTTATAGTAGAATTGTATGAGCTATATTGAGGCATAATCATTCTTGTTCGGGTGGTATTCATTGTCTATATCATTTCTTTAATGGGCCTGGTTTTGATTTGTCCAGTTCACAATAAGCACAGGGCAATTCATATTTTTATTTTATAACCTCATGTTATGTATGGAGCGTGCTCTTGTCAAAAGTGGTTTAGCTTAAACTTTGATGGAACAACTGGTAGCAATTTCACTGTTTGAGAGGCCTCTGAAACTCTCTCCCAACAATACACAAAATTCACGTAAGGGATAATGCTCTCTACGGAAATGGCTCCACTGGTCCCCTCCCCACCAAATATTCCCTCTGAAGATAACTAACTTCACCCCCTCCCTTGCGTGCTTTGCTCTCCTTGCTTATGTGAACCATGTGGGAGGATTTTGCGTATCAAACTTCTTTAGCTGATATGGTTTCATTCCTTTTCTGTTGTATGATTTACATTGCTATCCCTTGTGGCCATCAAAACTTGCAGATGTTTTTCCCTTCTCACGTGGAGGCAAAGTAGAGTTTCGTTTCTTATGCCTCTGCTGCAAATTGTCAAATTTCTTCTCTCCCTTTTGGCATTACTGGACAGTGCCTATCCTGACAAATTGGATTGTTGTTGATTTTACATCAAGAAACTTTGAATCAACTCTATTCATCATTCATTTCTAATGCAGGGTTATAAGTAGGAGTCCAATGCTAGATCTTTTTTGCATTTTAATTAGCATATATTATTTTGAGCATATCTCAGACATATATTACCTACCAAAAGTCAACGGTTTGATCCCCTACCCCCAATTGTTGAACT